AGTTTGGCTCAGTGGATAGAGCATCAGCCTGCGGACTGAAAGGTCCCAGGTTCGATTCCAGTCAAAGGCATGTACCTTGGTTGCGGGCACATTCCTAGTAGGAGGTGTGCAGGAGGCAGCTGATCAATGTTTCTAACTCTCTATCCCTGTCCCTTCCTCTCTGTAAAAAAATCAATAAAATATATTTAAAAAAAGAAAGATTGAAGTTGATCCACAAACAAGATTTCTTTCTCTATAAATTTGTGTATGTTCTCCTAAACCTCCTGATTCCAACTTCCTACTAAGAACTCCAGCAGTTATTGTGTACTTGACAGTTTTGGAGAATGGTATTGTTAGGCTGTTTTGCATTCTTTTCCTGCCTTTATGAAATTAATATGCTCAACTGGGCTAAAATTCCAAAATGATTCATTTACAGAGCTGATTTGGGAAGTCAGATGGACCTATATAGAGCCTCTCCCTGTGGCTTGGGCTTCTTATAGCTAGATTCTGAAGTGGGGCATTTTGAGGAGAGGGATGTGTCCTGCAGGTTAGTGTTCTGACAATGCAGAGTGGAAGTTAGAAGGTTTCTTATGATTGAGCCTCAGAAGAACATCCTGTTGGTCATGGGAGTCAGTAGGGCCAGCCCAGATTCTAGGAAAGAGAATGAAACTCCATCTCTCAGTGGGAAGAGTAGCAGCAGAGCAAAGAATTTGCAGCAAACCTTAATCTACTGTAAAGTGGGTGCTTATTAAACATCCTAGGCTCTCCTTGGAGAGTTCTGATTTAGTAGGTTTGTGGTGTGGTTCCACGAATCTTTTAACACATTCTCTAGGTAATTCTTAGAATCGTACTGGGAAATACTAATTTCTAAGTTTCCCTCGATGTTAACATACCTAGTGTAAGCTTGAAGAGGGTAGATGATAATTCAATCTCTGTCCTTGCTCTATTGAATTTGACCCCAGCACAATTTTTATCTTTTCTAACTCCTTTGTCTTTAGTAGGTATTTGAGAGTTAATTCTTTGTGATTTATAAATTTATATTCTTCAAATAAGGTTTGTTTTCATTTTTAATCCTATTATAGGATGAATTTGTAGTTCTTGACTCTTGTGAAGTGTCAACAGAAAATAATCAAACTACTCGATTTCCAAAACCTGAGTTAGAGATTCAGTTTACACCTTTACAGCCAAACAAAATGGCAGTGAAACACCCTGGTTGTGCCTCACCAGTAACGGTTAAGATTTCCAAGGCTCGGAAGAGGAAGAGCAACGAAATGGAACAGGTAAATACTTAACTGATGAGTAAATTTAACAAGCAAGCATTATTGTTGTTGAGCTCATTTACAATATATACTTAAATTCTGCTGCACTTCCCTCCGATTCGTAAGCACTGCTGTTAGAGACCAAAATCATGGATTATGGCATATTCTAGAATATCACTGTAGTTAAATAGTCATCAAACAAAAAGCTTATAGATATTAAGATTATAGTTTATCCGTATCTTAGGTCTCTATTGTCATAACTCTATGGTCTCTTTTAGAAGAGAAATTCTTTTTCTAACAGCCAGTATATTAAAATTTGGACCTCTATTTAGTGGAAGGCTAAAAAAAAATCTATTTATTCTTATTGCAGCTTTTTCTTTTTCTACTGCAGCTTTTTCATTGTAGGGTTATCCAATCCTCTATCATGTCACACAAACTTTCTGACCCCCCTGTTTCCTCCTTTTGGGAATAAAAGAGTAGATGTAGTATGTTTAAAATGCTTAGTTTGTATTCCACATGTCATAGATAGGTAAGTAATTTGTTTTAAGTTTAAAACTAATTATAAGCTCTTCAGCACAATAACTATCTTCAACAATTTTTTTTTTTTTTTTTACTCTTTTAAAGAGTACTATATTTTCAAGCTGGTGGAAGAGCAGAAGTAGTACTAACTATACTCCTGAGGCTCTCCGTCAGGTAATAAATTTACTAAATAAATATTATTTAGACTATTTCCTTCTACACCTAAAACACCTTTAGAGGTTGTTTTCTATAGACTTTGGTAACTTTTATTCTATATTTAATTTATATCTAATACATTTTAGATACCATTAAAATACTAAGTATTTTATCATCTATGTTTATTTCCTTGATTTATTTTTTCAAGGGAAAAGGAAAATTTGTTGTGTATGCAGTATTAAAATACAATTATTCATTTTACTATTGGTCTATAATCTCCTTTAGCTCCATGTGTATTTCAGAATAGATATACAGATTGTTGTAGGCAAATCATGTAAAACTTAAAAGTTTTAATTGATTTTACTAGCTCTTAACTGCTATAATAAACTGAGGCTCTCATGAAAATCATATATACAGTGTTATATTCTATTCCAGTGAAGACTCCAAAGTGCTCTTTATTGAACACTACAAGTGTGATGGAGTTAAAATCTGTCCTGTTTGTTTGTTTCCCATGATGCCACCTGCCTTCCCCTTTAAGAAAGTCTGCTTCTGCCCTAACCGGGTTGGCTCAGTGGATAGAGCGTCGGCCTGCGGAATGAAATGTCCCAGGATCGATTCCCGTCAAGGGCTTGTCTTGGTTGCAGGCACATCCCCAGTAGGGAGTGTGCAGGAGGCAGCCGATTGATGTTTCTCTCTCATCGATGTTTCTCACACTCTATCCCTCTCCCTTCCTCTCTGTAAAAAATCAATAATATATATATTTAAAAAAAGGGGGAAAAAAAGAAAGCCTGCTTCTTTTGACCCTTAATGGCTTTCACTTGGTGACTTGAATTCTGAGGTTCAGTCATGATCCTTTATCTGCTTCTGTTCTGCCCCCCCCCCACCCTTTTATGCTTATAATCTTTGGTATAACTAGGATTTGTGCCAGTTCAGTTCAGTTAACAATACTAAAAAAGCGTTTCCTAAGATGTCATGTCTATTTAGAAGGGAAGACAGAATATGTTTTCACATTTTACCTGTGTTTATACTGAAGATTTTTATTTTATTTTGTTTTCAGTGCTGTCAAATTTCAGTTAGAGGTCGTAGACCTAGATGCTTTGCAGAATTTGGGAGTTGAGGAAAGGGAAGGTATATTGTTTTACTGTGTGGGTTCAAATGAAAGATGTTCTCCCTTCTAATCTTTCTCATTTAGCTCATAATTTCATTATATACGGTGTGTGGAAAATTCATACCTTTAATCATTTTGCAAATGTATTAAATCATCATATTGTACACCTTAAACTTCTTATGTTATATGTTAATATTTCAATAAAATTGGGAAAAATTTATACTTTTGATCAGGTTTTCTCAACTTCAGCACTATTGACATTTGGGACAAGATATCTCTTTCTTTAGGAAAGTTGTCCTGAGCATCATAGGGGTGTTAAGCAGCATTATGGTCTCTATCCACTGGATGGCAATAAAATTCCATTTTCCCCAGCAATGACAGCTAAATGTATCTCCAGACATTGGCAATGTTCCCCAGGGTCAAAAATCACCCCTGGTTAAGAACTATTATCTCCTTTTCTTTTCTTTTCTTCCTCTTCCTCTTCCTCTTCCTCTTCCTCTTCCTCTTCCTCTTCTTCTTCCTCCTTCTCTTCCTCCTTCTCTTCCTCCTTCTCTTCTCTTCTCTTCTCTTCTCTTCTCTTCTCTCTCTTCTCTCTTCTCCTCCCTCGTTTCTCTCTCTCTCCTTCCCTCCTCCCTCTCTCTCTCTCTCTCTCTCTCTCTCTCTCTCTCTCTCTCTTTCTCTCTCCTCCAGAGAAAAAAAATATTGTCAAGAAATTAACCAGTGCTTAAATATATTATTTTTTAGGAGTTGGTGAAATGTGAAAATAAGAATACTACACCCAGAACTAATTTGAAGTCCCCTATTTCTGAGCATAAAAATTCTCCTGTCAAAAAGGAACAAAAGGTTTGTCTTTTAATTTGTCCAAAATTGACCATTTCAATTCTTTATAAAGTAGAAGGCAAAAATAAAGATGTCACATTTGATTAGTAATTTTTCAGTTTTGTCTAATTATAACTCATTTATCTTTTATTTCTATTCATCTGATTTTGCTTAGAATGTAAGCTTTAGCATTTGGCCAGTAGCAGGCACTTCTTGTTCACTTCTCACTTACCACTCTGCCTATCACACTCAGTTTGCCATTCTCCGGTCCATACAACCTTCATATATATATATATATATACACACACACACACACACACACACACACACATACATATACGTATATGTACATATACGTATATGTATGTGTGTGTGTCTC